CAAAGGGGCCACAATGAGGGGCTTGGCCACCCGCGGCGGCGCTCTCTCCGCTCCCCTCTTCGCGCGGTCCTGCATGAATTTAAGGAGGGAACCGAATCGGAACTTGCACAGCCTGAAAATACGTCTTCAAATCGTTGGGACGCCTGAGATTTTATGTTTTAAAAAAATCACAGTAAAGCAGAAGCCCACTAGAGTAGGGGGCAGATACGGGACGGCCCGGCCCCCGCCTGCGCGCCCCTCCAGGTCGAGACCCTCGGCGTCTGCCCGCAGCCGCCGGTTCCGGCCGCGCCTCCCGCGCCCTGCGCGCTCCGGGGCGGCCGCGCCGAGGAGCCGCCCACGCCTCTCGGCCTCGCTAAATAGCTGTGGCAAGGAGGCGGGGAGTGGATGTGGGGTGCGGTTAAAAGGCGCCGCCGACCGAAACAGGTGTCTGAGCCTGCAGACGCTCGGCGGCGCCTCGGTCTCACGGCTCGGAGTCAGTCGGCGTGGCGCGCGGCCCGCAGCGACCCGGAGGCGGCGCCCAGGACCCGGCGAGCCCGCTGCCGCCTGCCCGCTCCCGCCCAGGTGAGGCTCGCGGCCCCGCCAGCCCGGCCAGGTCCCGGCTCCGACCCACTCAAGGGGGTACCTCGGCTCGAGGTCAGCGGAGTTCGAGGGGCGCGGGAACGGTGTTGGGGCGCCGGGCGCGGGGGAGGGTGGACCTGGGAGGAGGTCGTCCCTAGGAGGAGGATGACCCTAGAAAACGGTCCATAAGAACCCTTTGCGGACTTCCCTCTGGACACTGGTCGCCTGGCTGCATGGTGCGCCCTCCTCAGAAGTTTCTAATTCCCCCGGGCTCGGCGCGGGCAGACCTTGGGCTTAGCTGGCCGAGCAGGAAGGCGCCCCTGGACGAAGCTGACCTTTACCTCCTGGCTGGCGGCCTGTGCACAGCGCGCCCGGGCTGGGATCGATCGGCTGACTCCTCGGAGCGCGGCCACGTTCCCGTGCAGGGAGGGACGCGCCCCAAACCCAGATCCGGCTTTTCTTTTTTTTTCCCCCTGAACAATTAAAGAGTGTTCTGTTTCCGGCTGGACGAAAGACACTTGTTTACAGAGAGCGTGCAGTTGGGCAAGCATGCACTGCAGGACGGTTGCATCAGTCCTTGGATGCCCTAGCTGCTGGGAGCAGGGGCTTCCCCTAAATGTGCGCCCTTACGTTTTTCTGGTCCCCGACCTAGGACTGCTTAACATCCTACCTTGATGGAGTCCCGAGGCTACCCTCGGTAGGGTCTGAAGAATCGGGCGACAGCCATGTCCCCATTTACCCTTTTCAGTGGGTCTTAACACTGTTGCCAAAGTTGCAGACCTGGTGAAGGAGGGCAGGCACGCTGAAGGAGGGAAGGGAACCGACCACCAAAATTAAGAATAAGGCACTAAGGGGGTAAAAAAGCACTGTTTGCCTTTCCTAGAGCCCTGCATTCACAGGGTGCCTTCACTGAGAACAGAACCCCTGCCCGACCTCTGCCAGTCCAAGGCTCAGTCCCTGTGGGCACGCCAGCCCCACACCGAGGGGCGGAGTGGAGTTAGAGTGTTGAGAACACTATGGCTTGTTTAGTTAGACCATCCTAATCTAGTCCTCCTATCCCATCCGGGGATCAAATTTTAACTTCCTCCTGTCACCTGAAAGGACCTTTAAAAAAGACAGGTAGAACTCAAGCAAAAGCTTTAACTTAAAAAAAAAAAAATCCTTAGAGGGTTGAGCTCCAGCTGTATTATTCTCACCCGGTAGCAACTGGACTGGTTTAGGCACCCTATAAAATATCTGATTAATACTGTGAAAGAGGGGGGAAAGCATCGAAGTCCCCCCATAAATAGTATTCTTGGCCATCTAAAACAGGATAGATTTTATTTCAGTGAGTGTCTCATTTACTACCTAGTAAAATGTCAGTGAAAGGAACTCGAATGTCTCATTCCATAAAATGATTTGTTCAAAATCAGAGTCCAAATTTGATGGCTTTAGTGGTGCTGCCCTTCTGACAGAACCATACTGTGGTGTGGAGCGTTTCTTGGCATAGCCGCACACACAGCCACACACTGTGGCTCTCCCAGACAGCTTGGAAAGGGCCGGGGTGAACAGAGACACAACTGCTGTTTTGTTTTTTCCAATAATGTTGTGGGGGGGGTTGCAAGCTGAATAGTCTCGTGATTATCTCATGGTCAGTTTCTCAGTATGATAAGTTTTGTACCACGCTCCCATTGCCACCTGGGTGGCTTTGGATCATTCTAGTCAGTGCTGGTACCTGAGATAAACGAACTAAAACTCATTGCTGTGGAGTTTAAACCTACTCATAGTTAACCAACTGTCCAGTGAGTTTTCAGAGGCTGTAAATCCCAATGGGGGCACTGCCCATCTTTCTCCCAAGGAGTACCTGGTAGATTTGAACTGCTTGTCTTGTGGGTTGGCTGCATAGCTCCGTTCCCCCTAGAGCACCATAGCTTCTGCCCTAAAATGAGGTGATTAAACACCCTCATTCTGAGCTCAATGAAGGAGTATCTCAGGAAACAGGATCAAACTTGCTCAAAATGAGGAGAGCCCGATCATTTTAAGTAAGAGAAGAAGGAGGCTTCACAACCAGCTTAGAAAGGGTGGAAACAAGCTTACTCATCAGGCAGTGCAGAGGTTGGGATCCTGTTTAGGAAAGGGGTTGGTTGTGAAAGACGGGTGTAACTGAATAAATGAAGTTAAATTATATCCTGCAATGAAAAAATTTTAAAAAGTCAAAGCTAATGGAAGAGTGGTCCAGAAGCTCCCATTGCTTCTCAGTAAGTGAAGCCCTTTCTCTCTGATCATTTTTATTCATGGATATCACTCAGCTGTGGTTCTAAACCACGGTACAGTCATGCTGCTTTGTTGGACCAATAACAGAGAATCAGTAAGTTGAATTTCTGTCATCTTCATTTGTCACTTTGTAGACATTCCTAAATTAAAACAGTGGCCAGTCACAGCCCTTATCCTAATAGGAATTCCACAGTACTAACCAAGCAGTCAGACATAGAGTAAGAATTCATGATGGACATGAATGAAGAGAACATTTCTAGCACTTTCATTTTTCATGTAGAAAAAGGGAGATGGGCACTTTGTGAAATTCCCTCTTGGCTGTCTGATATGTAAATGTCTGCCACATCGAGGACCCCTCCCACTGCCACATCTCAAGTCTCTGAAGATTAAGGGGGGGGTTTATTTGTCTAATTAAAAAAGAAAAAAAACCAACCTTTTTATTATAGTTTTGGTGAAAGTTTACATAGCAAATTCATTTCCTGCAAATACACATTTTTATTACAATCTGGTGGCTTAATGGTAAGGAGTTATACTGCCAGCCCAAAGATACGGAGTTTTATCTAGTCCATGAGCAGCTCTGAAGGGGAAAGATGGCAGCCTCCTCCGGTGCGATTTACAGCCTCTGCAAACTCACTGTAGAGCCACCTGTGAGTTGGCTATGACTCAATGGCACACAACAAGGATACCAAATGTAGCAGCCCTCTTCCCACTTTCTCCCTGGCTGCCTCGTTTCCACTCATCCTTCTCTCTTGACCCTTCCTGCCATCTGAACTTTGTTTGAGCCAGGAGCTGTCCTTTGGGTCTCCTGTGGCCGACTGTTCAAAAGAAAGCCTTCCACACAGGGATTGATGTTCACTCTATATCACTCTATAGGTCTAGCTATTATTTGGCTGAAAAAAGTGTCTAAATACCACAGTCTCAGGGTTTCTACCAATCTCTATAACACTAGTAATTATCTTATTTTTATTTGTTCTACATTTAGTTCCATTAATTGACACATCTCAAGGAAAGTTTCCTTGCAGGGAGACCTGGTGTGACACTGAATTTCCTGAAACTACTTCTTGACCTGTGACTCACCTGTATTTCTCCTCCTTGCATTTAAGGCAAAGTTGGCTCAAGCTGGTGTCAGTCCTAGTAGCAGAGTGCCTAGATTGAAGCTAATAAGCAGAAGTAACCCAGGAAGGTAGCCTGTGTGCTGAGGAACTGTGGGTTTGGTCTAAACTAAATTTAGCCTTTAAGCCAAAGAGTACTTTTGTCTGTAAGGAGTCACCCTTCCAACACAAAGGAACACGGTTCAAATCCACCAGCTGCTCTGCGGGAGAAAAATCAGCAGTCTCCTCCCATGTGGTTTACAGCCTCTGAAAACCTCCTGGAGGGTCGTCAGCTATGAGTCAGTGCCAACTCGATGGTGCATAACAACAACACACTTTTGTCTGTGGTCCCCCATCCCCATCCCAGCTTCGTCTGGACAATCTCCTCCCATTGGAGCTTATTACCTCTGATACCCAACAACAGTTGAGGTTGAGTTTGAGTTTGAAAGACTGGGTGAATTTTTCAGGTAGACAAGCTACTTGTTATTATTTATGCAACCTTTAACAAAGCCTGATTCACAGCCTTTACTGATTCCAACTGGTACAGGTCCCTCAGATAGAATAGAACTGCCCCTAGGGTTTCCAAGGCCATAAATCTTTACAGAAGCCAATGGCCTCCTCTTTCTCCAAACCACCAGCGTTTCAGTTAGCAGCCAAGCATTTAACCACTGTGCCACTGGACCCCCAGGCAGGCCCTAAAAGCCCCACTATTGAGAGGATTCCAGTTCACAGAGACCATGTAGGACACAGTAGAACTGGCTGTAGAGTTCCAAGACTATAATCTTTACCAGAGCGAACTGCCTTGTCTCTCTCCCATAGACCAGCTCATGGGTTCAAACTGCCATCCAGCCTTCTGGTTAGCACCACTAGGCCACCAGGGTTCCCAGGCACTCCTAAGGAGCACACGAGAGCATGTTTAGGTTGGTTTGGGAACTGTAAATTTAATCCTCAAGTCAGATTAAGTGTTGGCACTGTTGCTTTCCTTTTGTTGATGAGTTGTAAAACTTGGCATTTGCTTGGGAAGAGCTTAAATAAAGAGCGCTTACCTGCTAGAGGGCACACAGCAACCGCCCCGATTGTGCCAGGGCTTACTGTGTTCATTTTGTCTTTTCCAGTGCAAACCACCCAGAGGGAAAGATGGATTGGAGCACGCTGCAAACTATCTTGGGGGGTGTCAATAAACACTCCACCAGCATCGGGAAGATCTGGCTCACAGTCCTCTTTATTTTCCGCATTATGATCCTCGTGGTGGCCGCGAAAGAGGTGTGGGGAGATGAGCAAGCTGATTTTATCTGCAACACCCTCCAGCCTGGCTGCAAAAACGTGTGCTACGACCACTACTTCCCCATCTCGCACATCCGTCTGTGGGCACTGCAGCTAATCTTCGTGTCCACGCCGGCCCTCCTGGTGGCCATGCACGTGGCCTACCGAAGACACGAGAAAAAGAGGAAGTTCATCAAGGGAGAGATAAAGAGCGAGTACAAGGACATAGAAGAGATCAAAAGTCAGAAGGTCCGCATCGAAGGGTCGCTCTGGTGGACCTACACAAGCAGCATCTTCTTCCGGGTGATCTTTGAAGCTGCCTTCATGTACGTCTTTTATGTCATGTACGATGGCTTCTCCATGAAGCGGCTGGTGAAGTGTACCGCTTGGCCTTGCCCCAACACAGTGGACTGCTTTGTTTCCCGGCCCACAGAAAAGACTGTATTCACGGTTTTCATGATTGCAGTGTCTGGAATCTGTATCCTGCTAAATGTCACCGAATTGTGTTATTTGCTAATTAGATATTGTTCTGGAAAGTCAAAGAAACCAGTTTAACACCTCACCCAGCTATTAGCTAGAAGGTAAGAGACAGCAGGAAAAAAGATGGGGTAACCTCTGTTTAGCTGTCAAGGTGTAGTCACCCATCTCCCCAGGTAAAGACACATCTTAAATACAACCACCCCAAACCTCCTACAGCTCACTGGAAACCCCAGGGGCCTCTGTGTTCTCCTTTCTCAAAACTCTAAAACAAAGACTTAGTTCTGTGCCTTTCTTAAAATTTTCTAAAGCCCATTCCAGTACAACCTCATACTAGTAGTCATATTTTAAATAAAGGATATACAGTCCTTTGCTTTTCTTTTCCAAGAAGGGAAGAACACCACGTTCTAAAGGCACTAACAAGATCTAGGTGTTCCTCTTACAATTCATTTTGCCAGTTTTCTTCAGATTACAGGTAAACACAGAGAATTCTGGTTCTTTCATTTGTTTTACATGCCTTAATCTCTGAATGGGACAGAGTTAACTACTGCTTCAAACTCTGTTACCCTGTTAATAGACCTTTAAAGCATGGGCCTTTGACCCTTTAGAGGCTCTGAAAACCATTCTGTGTTCCTCTAATTTCAAAGGCTTGGGCTATGGTAGGTAATTAGGCAGCGGCATTAAATTTAAAATATGACTGATGTACAGCGCCAGGGAAAGGCCTTCCATTGTTTGAACAGTTGAGCGCAAAGATATTTCACCCTCTCTCAAGTGTTTATCTCATTTGGAACAAAACCAGAAGTTCATAGGCATGACTTAGAATAGCAGATGGACTCATGTGGGGAATTTAGGTGTAATTTTTCGTATGAAATACAGACTATGGTCATATCACCCATTACTACCTGTTGTAATATGTTGGTGCAAGAACCACTCTCTTGCCTTAAAACCTTTGCCTTCTTCGTGGCTATATTCGTGATTGCCAGCATCAGAGGGAGCAATGACTAAAGGAAGTTGTTAGGTGTATTTTATTGCTACCATATAATTTACTAGTGCAGAACAAAATGGGAGGGGAAGTGATTGTTCTCGGAGAACAAATGAGAAAGCTAGCCTTGACATTCTGATGAGTAAAGCTGAGGTTAGTCCACACTTCAGAAGCTTGTTTGCTTTTCTCTCCAATTTTTTTTAAGTAAATATAGACTTACTAGGCATTTTAAAGATACAGAAACTGAGATTTAGACAAGTGTTAGACTCAACAGCATCTGAAGACAAAACAAAACACCCCAAATGGAACACTAATATTCCCAGTATTTAAAAAAAATGGCACTCACCATACTTCAGTGAGGGTAAACACTTGCACAGTACCAAGAGAAATAATAGCATTGTAAAAATATTTTTAATAATAAATATAAGCCTTAATTATATGCTTATAACAAAAAATATTTTTAAATATCTCAAATTATATTTAAATTATTAAGGTGAAATTAGTATCATCCTTGTTTAAGCTCTAACACTGTCTTTTATATAATGTTGTCAGGTGCACAGCCCTCCATATAGCAGAATGCAATGCTGCCCAGTCTGTCTTACCCTCCCAGTCATCGCTATGACTGAGCCTGTCGTAGCCACTGTGGTAGTCTATCTCGTTGAAAATCTTCCTCTTTTTTACACACCTCCTACCTTACCAAGCCTGGTGTCCTTCTCCAGGGTCTAGACCTTCCTAATGACATGTCCAAAGTACATGAGACCAAAGTCTTACCATCCTTGCTTTGGAGAAATTCTGGCTGCACTTCTGAGACAGATTTGTTTCTCTCTCCGGAAGTCCATAGTATATTCAGTTATTTGCCAAAACTATAGTTCAGAGACACTAAATCTTCAGTCATCTTACTTCCAGCTTTCACATGCATATGAGGCAACTGTAAATACCATGGCTTGGGCCAGGCGTACCTGAGTCTTCAGAATGGCATCTTTGCCTTTTTTAACACTTCTAAAGGGGCTTTTGTAGCAGATTTGCCCAATGCAATATGTCATATGATTTCTGACTTGCTGCTTCCATGAGCCTTGATATGGGTTGAAGTTAAATGAAATCCTTGACAGCTTCAGTTTCTTTTCTCCATTCATGATGTTACTTAGTTGGTCTAGTTATGAGGATTTCATTTGCTTTGTGTTGAGTGGGGTGTGATCCATACTGAGGGCCCGTCGTCTTGGATTTCTTCAGTGTTTTAAGTCCTCTTCTCTTTCAGCAAGCAAGGTTGTGTCATCTGCATATTGCAGGTTTTACCGGTCTTCCTACAATCCTGATGTCAGGTCTTCTTCTTATAGCCCAGCTTCTTGGATTATTTGCTCAGTATACAGATTAAATAAATAGCAGATTTTTATTTCACCTAGAGCCATTTTTTGTACAAGTACATTAATATTTTTTATTTCATAGCAGCAAATGGATAATATGCTCAGCATCTCTGTATACATTCCGGGATTCCTCTGCCTGTTACAGAAAAGCCTCTGTCACCAGAAAGACTGGCAGAAGAGGCAGAAAGACAGACTTTTTCTTTCCAGTCCCACGCTTGCTGGCATCATGTTCTCTGTGGAGAATCGGCCTAAGAACAGGGTGATCCACTGATTGGAAACGCAGCATGGAGAACGCTGAGCTGGACTTAAATGACCATTTTGGCCACCAGAGTTTTCATGGTGAAGACCAACTTGGGGCACAAGAAATACCCTATAAGGTGTCCTAACTGCCGGATAGTCTTTCTGAATGTTTGTACGTAACCAAAACTGGTTGTGTAAACTGCTCTTCACTCCTTGATGCCCATTTCCATGGGAAATAAACCCGGTGGATCAGCCTTTCTCCCTCAGTGTGACTTCTGTGACCATCATGGGCACCCAAGTTTGTCCCCAGAAACAGCCATCAGCCTGAGGACTCATGATGTTTTCCACATCAATGATTATCTGTATTTTAATGGTGAACCATAATAGAATTGTTAAATATGTTTAAAAGGAAAAAAAACATTATGTATGACAACAATTTGGAACAAAGGGTGCATTGGTGGAAAGGAAAAGGAGATGGGGAAGAATATGTGCAGCAATGGAAAAATAATAAATCATTTTCAAAATGAACAGCCAACTTTCATCCAGGTAATAGACTAGAAAGGAGATAAGAAATAGTTTATACCTACCTTCCCCACCTTTCACATCGCCTGTAAAAATAGCACACAACTTATTAAATAGATACACTCACTCTTTCAAACTGTGAAAATTATTACTCTCACAGTATTAAAAAGATGAGGCAAAAAATGATTACAGACTAGTGCCTATCACTTGAAAGAAATTATAGAGAAGTCAGGCCACATGCTTGAAAATTAGAGATTGAACTCTGAAAATAATAACCCTACTTATATATTTTAAGTCATCAATTTATAATTCAGACTAAGTAAGATGGGAGAAAAATTCCAAATAGCCAGTCTGTCTGGTGGAAGCAGTGAATCCTGGTGTCACATCTGCCACTGTCTGAGACCCCTTCTGGGTGACCCAGTAGATTGAGTGGCTTCTGGGATTTTTTCTGAAACAATAGATACAGACTTTTAGCCCAGCTTCCAGTTCCAATGTGTGTGAAGCTCCGAAATAAACTACAGCAACACCATCTTGAGAAACTTCTCAGTAGATGTTCACTTGTCAGAATATAGATCACAGTGGTACCAACGGGTTGTGGTTGACTGTGAAGACATGCAGTCTTCTGTTGGGTTGGTCCTGCACCCCATGGGGTTCATCATTGCTGGCAGTGACCTGAGCACTTAAACAGCAACAAGTCATGTGCTTAATAAACAGGGTCTCTTGTATTGCTATGATGCTCACTCAGTAGGTTTCTGGACTGTAATGGACTGGAAGAAGGACTTGGGGTCTACTTTGAAAATCCCAAGCATCTGATTCCTTAACTGATCATAGGGTAGTGCCAGACTGTGTGCTTGGGGTCACACAAGTTGGAGGCAAATCTACTTCAGCTAACAAAAGCAGCAATAGTAAAGCTAGGCCTCACTTTCCTCCTCTTAATATGGGCTTACAAAGTACATTCTATGGATAATGTCAATCAAAATGTGCTCTCTGCACTGTAAAGTCATGATGAAATATTAGGGCCATCTATTTTGCATTAGACTCAAAGCTGAGAAGATGATGAAGTTGAGATATTTTAGATGGAAATGATTTAAGCAAAATGTGATAAACTGGAAACCTGAAAAATGTACTTACACAGTCTGAAAAAAGCACAGTAAAGGTAGAGAAACAAGCCATGTTAGAGGGGAGATGCCGAGTGCAAATCCAACAGGCAGAAAAGATGGGGTGATGGCAGCTCTGCTGGTGAGCATTATTAAAGAAAGAGACACAGTGTAACGAAGAAAGTTTGTGGTGTTAATAGGCTGGGGTGGAAGGCGGTGTGTTCAGAGCCATCTGGACAAGTAGCAGAGTGCTGATTTCTGTAGATGCTTTGTTGACGCCACTGGATTTTGGTTGCTTGGCCGCAGTTCTCCAGTCTGGAGACAAACCTCCGTTCACATGAGAATGGCAGCTCCCCCTCTCCCACCAGGTCCTTCTGCAGAGACCTGAGAGGACTGGATGCAGGGCTGGCCACTGACCACTGACCACCCTCTTTCTCTGCTTTACCACACTGTCACAGCAATTAGGGGACAGAACAGGGTGCTGGTGGAAGAAGCCCCAAGTGCACTGCAGAAGCTGCTTGAGGCTAGATACCAAAACAGAAGCCAAGACAGAGGTGGACGGGGAGGTTCCTGAGGCCCACAGCCCCTCTTCTGAAGCTCCTGTTCTGTTCTGAGTACCTCGAGATGGCTAGAGTTCTGCTTCAATCAAAAGAAATGGATCCAACAGGGATTCTGTAATGAAAGAGATGAAAATGGGTCCTAATATAGAAAGAGGTTTATTAGAGACATTAGGTCCCACATACGATCTAGTCCTAGCCTCTCAAGTCAATCTAATTCCTTACTATGTGACTATTTAGGGATCCTAAGCTCTAGTCAAAATAAGCTCCCAGTTGTAGCCCATATGTCCATAGCACTTCCCAGTCCCATGTGTTCACTGTTCCTGCCAGCAGAGATGCCCAGATTCTCTGATCC